CCCCCCCCCCCCCCCCCCCAACTCCCAAGCCCTAAGCACCACAAGCCTTACTGAACGTTCCTAGGGCGAGCCTTAATAGCCTGGCCAACCTCTAAGGAACATCACCAGCCCCAGAGCCGCTGGGTTGCAAAGCGGGGCCAGAGCGGAACAATGCGCTGCCGCTGTTAAACAGCAACCTCATGAGTGAGGCTTCAGGGTAGGGCCAGAGTGTTCGAGTTTACGGAGTTTACGGAGTTTACGGCTTCGGGAAAGAGCTTTGGGTTCATTCGAAGTTCAGGGCTGAGGATTTCAATGATGGGTCGTGGTTTGTGCTGGGTTGGGTGCATGTTGGTCCTCACTTCTAAATTATGATGGAGAGTAGGCTCTGATGCGACTGTACTGTACTGCAGTACATGATCCAGATCACACAAGGGCCGGACAGGTAGATGTTCCAAGAACATTCCTCAAAAGCTTCAGGAAGAGTAAGTGACCTTGACGAAGTGACCTTGATGCAGATGCGAGTAGGATTTCGGCTGAACCCTTTGCTCCAAAAAGCATTCCATACAGTGTTCCTACAAAAAACTCTGCGCGCCTTCTGGCGCACCATTTGGAACACATTTTTGGAACGCTTTTGACTTGGGTCTAAAGAGCCTAAAGAAGACAGGCCTGCCACGAAGCATGCCAGAAAGTCGTCCAACAAGAATGTGCGGGATATGCCAGGCTGCCGACAGCTCTTCCGAACTTGCTCTGCAGCATGACAGTTGGAATGCTTCAACGGCGCTCCCTCGGACACACAACATGATCCAAATCCAGCATGTTATTTCCGTATGCAATCGCGGAACACGGCCTGAACACTTTTTGGAGCACTCTCAACTAAGGTCAACGTCTGCTTCTCCCAGGAAACTGGAGAAATATGCGAATGGGAAGGAAAGGAAAGAGCAATGGAATCTCGGATCCGGTTCCAGGAACATAAAACTTGCTGACAAAGTTGTCAGTCGCCATAGCGTGCAAGGACGACTACAGGCAGGAATGGGAACTCTCGATGTGTGTAGAAGCATCATGGGTGCCTACAACAAAGATAGCTGGAAGACGATCCACAATTCGTCACCAGTCTCCTGCCTGGCACCTTCGTGTTATCAAGAAGACAAGAGCTGCTGCAGACTCCAGACTTGCCCCCAAGTATCCGTTAAATGATTCGTGTCACTGGTCTGCAATCGTGTGCCTCGTCCAGCACGTGTGCATTGCCATTGTTCCGAAATTTGAAGTGAAGCCCGATGCTCGTGCCGAATAACGTTGAACGTGGTGGGGGAATGTCCCAATCAGACCCCAGATAGACGCTCCAAATGCCCTGTGGCCACAACCTCACGGGTAGAAGGCTGCGGTCACGGTGCCATTGTGGCAATTGCGCACGAAACGGTCAGAAACATCGCTTCGAAGCAGTCAGCTGACCATAAACCTAGGTGCTTTGGTGGTTCCTTTGTCATGACACCTTGCCTGCCTAGTGCGAGGTCCAGGTCGACGCCTAATTCTTGAAAATGGTGTGGGACTCCGTAAAGTCTCGGAGCTTGAACCCAAAGGGCCGAAGTCGAAGTAAATCGGGGGGGATGCACAACGCAACTCAGGGCAATTTCTAGTATTATATATACTTATATATATATATATATATAGAGGGAGAGAACATTCACGTTAGTATCAGATGGGGAAGCTAAGGGCGGCGACGTCACTCCGCGAGCTGCCGATGCCATTGGCTGCTGTGGCTTTCCCTATGCCCGGAGCATGCAGGACATCATTGCTCTCTAGTTCAGGTAGCCACGAGCTTGTTGCTTGGATACCACTGTACTCACTTTTTGATTACATATCTCGGTCATGATGAAACAGCACATGTCTGGGCAAGGAGCCAAATAGCTGCGGATGGACAAATCGGCATGTCAATCAATTTTTTTTTTCCAATCAACCTTTTTCTAATGGAGAAACTTTCTTCCAATCAAAAAGAAACTTCCGTTTGCAGTACCATAGAAGGAGGAAGGAAGGAAGGAAGGAAGGAAGGAAGGAAGGAAGGAAGGAAGGAAGGAAGGAAGGAAGGAAGGAAGGAAGGAAGGAAGGAAGGAAGGAAGGAAAGATGCACAATCTACTACTAATTTCTGGTACTACTACCTTTATTACTAGTACTACTACTGCTCGTACTACGTCCTACTACTACTTGATCGTACTACCACGACGACTACTACTACTTCTACTATTATTACGACTAATTACTACTACTACTACTACTA